TTAATTCCACTAAAATTAAGTCACCCATGACAAATACTGTTTGACCTAGATGCTCTAGATATTTCATCCCATAGATGCTTTGCTTCCATTCTAAGTTTGGTGGCCAATTACTCCAATTATAAGATTTTTGTTTTTTTCGTTTATTCTATTCAAATAGTTTCTGTGTGTATGGCTCAGTTTTGATTTCCTCTTTGAGACTACATTTCAGATTTTCCCCAACATATATGGCTACTCCCCCCCATCTTTGTCTAATATATCTATCTGTGTGAAATAGTTTAAATCCGTTTATTTGATATTCTGTTAATAGTTCTGTTTTTCTACATTCATGAGGGTCGACCCCATGGCTCGTGTTGTCGCTGCAGCCCGCCCTCACAGTGACCAGCCCTTGGGTGGTGGCGACCTGTCTGCTTAGAGGCCGTCTCCTCATCTTCCCATCAATGAGGCACCGTCTCCCCACTGCTGTACACATAATTTTACATACTGTCAACTTTAGGTCAAAATGCTGAAAATAAATATGGTAAGTTCTACAAAACTAAATAATTCCTTTGACACTTTTGAACCACTTCTGAAACATTATTCATTTCAATACAATTATCAACAAAATCTGTTTTTAAATTTATTGGGGTTATAAAGAAAATTTACATAATATACTGCATAGTTCCAAAAAATATACTATACCATCACCATCAGAGCAGGTTTGCAGCTACACAGTTTAGGTTTTGGTACTTTAATGTTAACTGTGCAATGAGAGATTCTCAGGAACACAAGTTGTTTTGGTGCATAATGCCTAAATACCTTGTGTTTTATACACTTCCTGGATATACAGGATATTTTTATACACCGAGTATACTCGGTTGGCACAGTTAAGTGGTTAAATAGCCATGGACCTCTGATGTTCAACGTTTTCTGATTGTGCCCATGGCACCTACACTTTTCATTGGCTCTAGTTTGCATTTCCTACCTACCACGCTAAAGTGTGTGGTTATTTTACTGTGTAAATTTGGCTTTTGGACTTCCAATATCTGCTCTATCTGTAATCTTGTTAAATTGGTTCCAAAATCTGCCACTAGGAGATTATATTATGCAAATAGTGGGACATTCCTTGTGTCGTTAATCCATTGTATGGAAGTGTTGAAAGTTTCAAGTCAATAATACACAGATACATTCTCCAGATACTGTATAGAATCTGAGAATAAAAATATTTCCTGACTTTTCACTTTAAGAAACATCCAATGAATTTCTTCCTGACAAACTTTGATTAACATTAGTTCTGATTAACTTAGCATAGAAAATTTACATGAAGTAAAAAGACAGCCATCAGATAAGAGAAATGTATTCATTGCCTTTTGACACAAAGGGGTAGCAGATGGCACACAACCTTATTTTGTATACATCTTATTACAGCTACATATTATATAAACCTTCATTTCATAAGCACTTTTAATCAAGAAAAACAAGCCTTTATAGATCAAGAAAAATTTATTAGTAATGTATTTTTCCTATATATTGTGTATGTATATAATTTAATCACATGGTTTAAATAATACAATATTGAAAAGCTTATTATCTACACAAATTGATGTTAAATCTACAAAAGCCAAAGTTAGACATGTTAATCATGAACCAGTTTCAGTGTCCACTGATACCCTCTTAAGTAGAGGTTACTGGACTGAATGGTCACTAAAACTGCCTTGAAATACTGTACATTTCTTATCCATCATGTAATGACATTCACAAAATTGTTAATTCTAGTCCAATTGGTATTTAGCAACTGTGAAACATATTAAATACTTAATATCTTCTATATATTATTTTGAATATTTATATTCCCAAGACAATATTATCTCAAGGAGGTAGCCTTACATAAAATCTTCTGCAAACCCCTCGTTATTCTAAGATATAAAACTAGCATTGAATGTAATTAAATGCTATTTTCTGGGCGAGCACTGGAGGCTTCCTGAGGCTATTCAAACTGATATGTACTATATTAGTTTGGGGTCATCAGTCACAGTAATCCTTATGCCTACCAAAAACCACGAGCCAGAACCTGGTCCCCTCAGAGAGGCACAGGGAGCAATGACCTATGAGCACTTTACATTTAAAGTACATCATAATTGCCATCGACTGGGGAGGGCACCCAGAGAGATAGGTGAAACAAAACATAACACAATCTGGTGAAAATTGCGACCAATCTCTGAACATAGCAAACGAACTCCCCGAGAAAGAAAACAAACAAGCAACACAATCAAAATAGCACTCCCACTCATTAGTGCTCTCCCCCTAAAGGGGGGGGGGGGGAGCCGGCAGCCCACCACTCCAGTTCCCGAACGATGAAGACTGCCGACTGGAGGGAAGGAGGGTGTCAGGGAATCTCTGGGATTCACCCAGAAAATCGCGTTTCATTACATTTGGCTCCCTGAAGCTAACTACCCACAGATAAGTAAAAACAGGGACTTACCCGGGAGGCGGCAGCACCGCAGGTCTCGAGTCGAAGAAGACTGACAGCTGCGACAGTCTCCCCAACGCAACAAGGCTAGAGAGGGCCCGGGACATCCATGAGATACCTGAAGGCCAGGACGTAGTTTGACCACCAAAACTCCCGTGCTTGAATGTCAGCCCAATACATATCACCAAAGACAGCAGCAAGAGCAGTATACTTCCTCATATTATGGGCACGAGTGTAAACCGCAGACTGGCTAGACTTAATTACATCGCAGAAAACCTGAGACACATGAGCCCTGAAACAGGGAACCAGGGATACCGAATCCACCCTGGGCGCGTCCACTGTGACTGAACCAGTGGCCCGCAGGTAGCGATGTAAAGCTACAACTGGACAACACATGATGTATTCCTGGCCTAACCAGTCAAGCTTCCACAACCACACTCCCAAAGAAGAGAGTCTGCTGGGTTGACCCAGAAGCTTGGCGGGAAATTCGGGCTCAACCTCCTCTGCACCCGAATCGGAAAGGGCAACCCCCGAAGCCACCCGAGCCTCATCCCAAGCTAAACCTCACCCCGACTCCAAAACCCTCAGACGTTTCGGAGCTGGAAGCAAGGGAAAAGAGGAGCAGGGCGAACCACCAAACCTGGGAAGGAAACGGAGGGGCGCGGATAGAACTAAGGTCAAAACGACCAACACCCCCAAATCCGAGTCCCTAAAACCCAAGTGGGGCAGCTCCAGGACCTCCAACCGGGCAACCAACCTAGCCCATTACAACAATGTAAATCAAGCATGCAACATAGCAGCTGCCTGAGACAGACAAGGAATGGGTAAATTGAAGCACAAGTGGGGAAGCACAAGACTCCGGGTCGTAGGTGTTACCGACCCAACAGGCAGCATGAAAGAGGCAGTACGTATGATCACCTCCCTGAGGCAGGGACGACAAACAACCTTCAACTTCTCACGAGGCAAGAGAGGACTCGGAAGACACATCTATGGTACCCCTGAGCCCACTGGGGTTTTCCAGGGCCTGTAGGGTGAGTAAACCCCATGGAAAGCCCAGGCACTGGGGCCAGCTAAGCCGGTAGAACCCTGTCTGTCAGCAGGCAAACTGACCACCAGTAGCAGCCGTGAAACCTCAGAGGCAACAGAGGAGGACCACTAACACATCCTAGGATTGCCTAATAAAAAGCTAGGCAGACCTCCACTGTTAAAGTCAAAACCCTAGAAAAGAAAAACAAAACCCCCGAAGACACAACAAACAAACTGGCAGCCAGAGAATTGTCGGCTGCATGTGCAAGCTGTGCCGGCCGCAGTGTGCCCAGCTCACACAATAACACTTCCCACCCAGGACAAGATAGAAAGCCCAAGACCCTCAAAGTACCCCAAGGGCGAAGACAACATCAAGCAACGAAGTCTTGAAACGGGAGTGATTCCCGAACGCCTCAGGGAAAATAACTCTGAAATGCAAGGGCAGTACTCACAGAACACCTAGTAAAGATAACCCTTGGCACATGCTGCTTCTGTACACTAAGGCACCTGGCCATCATACCACACATACTGCTGGTGCAGCCACACAAGGCAAAATCCAGAACAGGAAATTGAGGCCAGAGGTGACTGAGCTGACCGCCAATAGATCAGTTCAAGAACTGGAGTGGTGGGCTGTGGTTTTCCCCCTCCCTCTGGGGGGGGAAAGGAATAATGCTAACGAGCAGGAGTGCTTGTTGGGTGAAGTGCTGCTTGTTTGTTTTCTTTCTGGGGGAGTTCTTTTGCTATGTTCGGACGTAGGTTGCAATTTTCACAAGATTGTGGTCTGTTTTGTTTCACCTATCTTTCTGGGTGCCTTCCCCGGTCGATGGCAAGTATGACATACTCTAAATGTAAGGTGCTCATAGGCCATTACTCCCTGCACCTCTTTGAGTGAAACTAATATAGCACCTATCAGTTCAGATAGCTTCAGGGAGCCATTGGGGCTCCCCACAGAAAAGGGTTCATGCAACAAATTCAATATACATAGAAGCTTTGGCCATTACACTTTTAATTATAAAATATGACTAGATTTTCACTCTCTTATTTACTTTTAAAAAGTCAGCACTTTCTGACATTTTACACACCAGCTTTTTTTAATAATTCATCTGCAAACTGCTCCAAGTCAGCACTAAATCTGTTAACAGAAAAAAAATTAATTAACACAATTAAATTTAGTATTGTGCATGAAATAAGCATTTGGTTTCTTTGTAAGCCTAATACTATGCAGTATTATGTTTACTGAAATACTAATGCAACTACTTATTAATACTGCTGCAAGAAATGCATAATATTTTTTATATATTTGAATATATGAAAAATATAAATCAAGCACTTAAAGCAGTTTAACAATCTCAAACACCAAGCCTAACTGCAAAATTATTTCTTGGTCAACTTGTTCATATATAAATAATATTTTGCACAAGCTTCAAATGTTTAATAATTAAAATATATAATCTTAACAGTTAGAAAATTAATGTAATTAAAGGGAAATCTTTTATGAAGTGATAGGCTGTTATAATGAAATTATTTATAATTACACAATTTAATAAAAATAAAATATTTATCATGTATTTTGTTTTAGTATTAATAATGAATACAGGCATTTATTTGTATAAAATAATCATATAACATATTACAGTACAGACAACTCATTTATACAATTTTGTTTATCTGGTGTTTCTAACCGTTTTGTTTGCCAGCTATGAGCTCTTCCTACCACACCTTACTGTAAAACTTGATTCTATATATCTTCACCAGAACATGATCTGCCAATTTAGTTTACATCCTGGTCCCTACTTGGTGTACTGAGACAAATACAGCAAAGAAATGAAGCCTAAAAGTTTACACTGCCTAGACTTGGAACCCCAAGTCCTTTCACTTGCAAAGTGAGTATTAACTCCTAACTCACAGGCTGAAACCAATTTGTTGTCGTGGAGTCCAACTTAATATCTACATAATTTTATTTTGTTTTGTGCCTATGCTGCCACAGACACCCTGAAATTGCATATTGCATATTACTGAAATTGCATTGCATATGATCATGATTATCAGTCAGGTTAAACACTATTAGGTCAAGCTAGTAATTGGATGTGTTAGTTTATGTTCCGCAATTCTGTTGATCGCATTGCCCAGCACCCTCACTGAAGGCTTCGTGAACAGTCATTTGATATGGCTGAAATACTAGGGGCACAAATGAATAAGAGAGACAGAGGAAGGTATTCCTTTTATAATAATAATAATAATAATAAAATTAATAATAATAATAATAATAATGAATTTATTTATAAAGAAAAATATACAATGTTTATATTACATTATATAGACATATAGTACATCATTACTACTTTTTTATAAGGCCAATAATTATGCACAACATTTCTGGCAGTGATCAAAATGGGGGTGTGAAAGTTAAAGGCCAATTACATGCACAGCTTCAAATGTAGTTATGACAGAGCACAAAAATATCAGGTGTTTTTGCACTTGACCACCGATGGCTAAAACCAGCGTTGAATGTAATGAAACGCCATTTTCTGGGTGAGACTTGGAGGCTCCCGGAGCTATACCGGGTTGATGTGTATATATTAAACCATGGCAACAGTCAATTGATGGAGTTCTAAGCCCACCGGGGACCAGGGCCAGAACCTGACACCCCCTCAGAGAGGCATGAGGAGCAATGGCCTATAGACACCCTCTTGTAGTTAGAAGTAGTCTATAATTGCCATCTACCACGTCAGGCCTTCAGAAAGGTAGGAATCCCAAAACAAACTACAGCTGGTGAAAAATTGCTAACCAAAAGCCAAACAAGCAAAGAGAACTCCCTAATCAGAAAACAAGCAAGACTTCACCACAGCCGCTGCTCCACTGTCTGCGCAGCTCCACCCCTCCCAGGGAGGGGGAAAGGGGGTATCCCAGACTTCCCGCACCAAATCTGTTCGAACAACCAACGAGTGACCCGGATGCCCTCCATAAACAGCCGAAGGCAGGACCGCAGCTGCAGCAACGTTGCTGAAGGGATAAACAAGGAAGCGGTCCGAGAATCCAACACAAGGTCCAGCCAAGTCCAAACCTGAGAGGGAACCAAATGGGGACTTCCTCCAGTTTTCCAAGAACCCGAACCTGGCAAGCTGGGAAAGAACCAAATCCATGGTCAGCAGACATGCCGACCCGGCTGGAAGCCCAAACCAGCCAGCTCTCGAGGTAAGCCAGAACCCGAATCCCTAGCAGATGCAATCGGGCACTTGGGTTCTTTCACTTTCACACACGACCTGGGTAAGGTGTGTGTGAAAATGTGAGGTGCCAGATCCAAGGTGAATGGAAGGCAACGAATATGGTAAGCTCGCCTCCCCACGACAAAATTGAGCCTGTCCCTGAACCCTGGATGAATCAAGATGTGCCAATATGCATCCCAGAGGCCCAGTGACACCATCCAAGTGCCCAGCTCCAACAGAAGACGGACTTTGGACAGGGTAGTCCTCCAAAAGGAGGGGCAAAAGACCTAGGGGTTCAGACGGAACAAGTCCAGAATGAACCTCAGGTCCGCACACTCTCGTTTTGGAACTGCAAATAGCCAGAAAACCTACCTGATGGATGCCATCGTTTTGACCACACCCAAGCATACCCACTCCAGGATGACTTGACAGAGCGCAGGAAAAGAGGCCTGCCCCACTAGCCCTGAACCCCCCGAAGGATGAGGAACCACTCAATGTCACCGCAGGCCTGAGGAAATGACCCCAAAAGCCCATGAATCTTGGGACCAGGCGAAAGCAAACACAGTGAGCTTCCCCCACATTGCCCCATCAAAGGAGGCAAACAGGTAAAAGGGCCAATGACCCTTACGAGACCCCGACTGACACTCAGAGTGAGCACTGCGCCGACGGCTCCACAGGAGGGACCAGCCCCGAATCTGGCACAACTGGCTTATGACGACCGAAGGAACTTCGAGCCTTGGCACAACCCTTCTGGGCAGGACCCCCACGGTCTCCTCGGAGAACCAACAAGTCCGACATAGCCCGGCAACTAGACGAAGTGCCTGCAGAAGATGCACCACCGTTGACTCTGAAAACAGCAATGGACAAAATGGGGACAGAAATCTAAGAGCCAGGGGCCCAAGCAGATTCCAAAGAGTGGACGAGCACCGCCTGTCAGCATGCGAGGCGACAAGCAAAGAACGTCCTCTAAATCCTCTGCCTCTGGATACAAGGCAGATTCCACTGGAAAAACAGGGATACAGAGGGCCCTCTGGCACGACCCAAAAGCCCCAGCAGGAGGTACAAGCTTGAATGCCTCCACTGCCGATCCGAAAGTGGCATTCCCCGAAGCTACCCGAGTCTCACCACCAAGAAAACCCTGCCCGAACTTCGAAACCCCTCAGACTTTTGGGAGTCAGGAGCAGGGAAAGGGGGGGGGGGGGAGCAGGACGAGCCATAGCAGGGGAAGGACAAGGGGGGTGTGGAAGAAACCAAAGTCGAGGTGAATAAGACCCACAAGTCCGGGTCCCTATAACCCAAACAGGGCAACCGCAGGGCATCTGGAAAGGTAACCAACCGAGCGCGTTGCAGCAACCTAAACCTTGCGCACAACATGGAAGCTGCCTGTACCCGAATATCAGTAACAGTGGACTGGGTGAACTGGAGTACATGCAAGGAACACCACTCGCAAGACTCCAGATGAAAGGTGTCATCGACCCAACAGGCAGCATGGCGACTTCAAACTCGCATGAAGAGAGGTGGAACTTAAAGGTCTCCTCCATAGGACTAATGAGCCCCCAATGGGGGTTTCCAGGGCCCTTAGGCTGACTGCTAAGGGAAGCCCCGGCAAGGTACTGCTAACCAGTTTTCCCAGAACTACCAAGCAAACAAACTAAAAGCTGAACCCCTGCAACATGTGCAATCACAGGGATCTAGTGGAGGGCCACCAAAAAATACAAGTGGTCTTACAACCACACCAGGCAAAACAAAAACAAAAGAAAAACACCCCGCAAAAGTACAACGTCTCCAGGAGGAACAGAACCGGCCGCTATGCATATAATAAGACAGCTGCACAATACCTTGTCAGTGACAATGATACCTCCTACCCAAGGCCAAACAGGGGTAGGAAAAACCCCAGCTGACCCCAAGGGCAGGAACTCATCAAGCAACAAAAGAACCCTGCAGAGGTAGCCCCCAAATAGTTTGTAAAAGGTAACCTCAAACTGCAAGGGTAGTACTTATAGGGCACCTAGGGAAGGGAACCCTAGGTGCATGCAGTTCCAGTACTTCTGGAACCTGGCTAGCACACCACCACATGGCAGCACATCACCACAAGGCACAGCACTGCTCAAGGATTGGAGCCAGAGTCAATCGACTGCCACCTAATACAACAGTTTTAGAACTGAGGTTGGGTAGATGGTGCTGGGGGGGGGGGGGTTTATGCAGACCACAGCGTGGCGGATGTGGTGACGTCATGCATGTTTTCTGACTGGGGAGTTCTGTTTGCTCATTCGGCTTCTGGTTAGCAATTTTTCACCAATTGTAGTTTGTTTTGGGATTCCTCCCTTTCTGGGTGTCTGACCTGGTGGATGGCAGATATAGACTGCTTCCAACTACATGGGGGTGTGTGTGGGGGTTGTGTGTGGGGGGGGGGGTGTCTATAGGCCATTGTTCCTCATGCCTCTCTGAGGGGGCCAGATTCAGATGCTGATCCCCAGTAGGGTTAGAACTCCATCGATTGACTGTTGCCATGGTCTAATATATACACATCAGCCCGGTACAGCTATGGGGAGCCTATGGGCTCTCTGCAGAAAAGGGAGCTTTACTCCACTATAGGTCAAACAGATAAATGACCTGACATGTGCATACACACACACACAATATACATACTTGTAAGCACACATACTTTTCAGCAGCTCATGGCAACACACAGAGATTCTTACAGGGGGCAAGTTTCAGAATAAGTGGTATCTTATATAGTGCGAGTGGTAATAAGCATGCACAAATTCAGCACAACATTCAGTTCATTTGAAAGATTCTGTATGGTTAACATTCTAAGCCTTTATCTAATGAAGGTTTAAACAGCCCAGGCACAACACCAAGAAAAGGAGGTAGGAAGAAAGGAAATTTGAAAATAGATTGCATTAAATAAGACAGGCCTAACAATTTTTCAAGTTTATAGAGGCACTGCTATTCTTTGTTTTACTATATGTAAAACAAACAAAAGGATAGAAGTAAAAATACTATTTTGGAGATAGAAAATGTGGGATGTAAATAAAGGAAATGGAGCTAGAGAGAAAGTGAATCAAAGTTGCAGGACCAGATATAATATCTTTTTGGCTCCTGAGGAAATGTGCAGTAGAACTGTTATCCAAATCTTTATTACATTCCAGGTCTCATTCAGATGGAGAAAACTGGTCAATGCCATATATTTTGTAAACATTTAAAAAGTAAAATAGAGAAAAGTCTACTCATTTGTAGAATAAATGATTAATGACAAATGAACAAATGACTAATAAACATAATTCTTAAAATACTTAAAAGGACAAGAAATGGAAGAAACATTAAAACATTAAAGGAAAATTATGAGAGGAACTTGGGTTCAGGTTGGTATGGTCCTCCAATTCCAATTTGCTAAGTTATATAAGAGGTTTACTAAACTTAATGAAGGAATGGATGTGTAGATTATATTTTTCAGGACTTAATATTGGAGGCATTCAAGAACTACAACTGAAATTGATGAAATTGTTGAACACAGCAAATATATCTAGATTAATCAAGGAAAAGGTGCAAGGACTAGATGATGAAGTTCATTATAAATATAAATGTAATGTAATGAACATGTCTTTTGGTGAAAATGTTCATGTTCAGGTAGACTTTAGAGTTTTGTGATTGTGGTCAAGTGCACAGTCCCTGTAACATGTAAACAGTGTAAATAGTAATTCTAGTTTTCAAAACAGCAAGGTTTTGGCCTAGTGACTTTACTCCTCAGTTAATGTTTCCAAACATTCAAAATAACAATTTCCATCAACTTAAAAAATAATTTTTTAGCACAATACTATTACTTTGCCTTTACTAGGTTTATTTAAACTGAAGAAAGGTGCAAAAATTAAGACCAAAACTATGAGACCAGCATCACTGATAACACATATCCAGCAAAGTGATGGAGACTATACTAAGACAGGGAATTAGAGCCCATGTACTTGTTTAAGAATAGGTTGCAAAAACTTAGGATTTTATTCCAGAACAACAATCCAAGTTCAGGTAAGGGAAAATATGAGGATGGGTAGACATCACACTTGGTCCAGAAGTTAGAGAGCTTCACCCCTCACAAACACAGCTTAGTACAGTCAGGCCTCCCACACACTTCCACAGCTTCCTGTACTAACACTGCCTGCTCATTTGATGCTGGCAAATTTATTAATTATTTTCATCTGTTCATTTGGTAGCTGACATTTTACTTGGCCTTTTCCTATCTTGTGGAATCAAGCATTTTCCAAGTCAAATGTTCATCCATTCCTCTGTTCTGTAATGGATGAAAGGACAAGTAAGGCGTGATTAAAAAAATCTCAAACTGAACGTACTGTATTATATAATGCATGAACAAAAGGTTGTAAAAGTCAAACACAGTAAAATAAACTTCCAATTCTGAATGTATGGTGTTTTTAACTTTTGACTTTTACTTGGAGTAATATTCAAATCTATTTTTCAGGTTATCACATTAATTGGTGATTATATATGTATTACTACAGACTGCAAGTACCAACAGTAACATCTAATCATTTTTGTAGTTTTCATAGTAAGTTACTTAAACCCTTAAAATGCAGTTATTCTCAAGTATTCATGCTGGGGTAATGCATATATTATTTTATGATTTTATTTATCATCACTAGCTTTTTATACAAATGATGTACACATGGTTATAATATAGTACATCTATATGGATGTAATGGAGTTAACCTAGTCCATTGAAAGAAAAGTCAGTAATTTTGAATTGCTTACTATCGAAGAGGTTATCTTGCAACAAAAACAATGAGACTACAGTATCATCAATTCACAATTTGGTGTTTCAATATTTCAGGATAACATTACCATACAGAAAAGCAGGAAAGAAATGGGATGAACGCTGCTTCTTTTAAGCTTTTCAAGGAACAGATACATGTAGAATATATACTCCCTAGGCCCTAAGGGATTCTGTTCAACCTGTTGGACAACCGGGCAACCCCAATCTTAAATGGAAAAAAAAAAAAAAAAAAAAGTGTTGAATGTAATGAAACGCCATTTTCTGGGCGAGTCCCGGAGGCTCCCCGGAGCTATCCAGGCTGAATGGATATGTATAACTTTCTGGCATCAGTCAATACATGGAGTTCTTGCCTACCCTGGACCACAAGCCAGAACCTGGCCCCCTCTAGAGAGGCATGAGGAGCAATGGCCTATAGAGACCCCCTTATTGTTGGGAGCAGTCTATGTCTGCCATCGACCAAGATAGGCACCCAGAAAAGTAGGCACCCCAAAACAAACCCCTATTCTGGTAAAACTATTGTGACCGAAGACTGAACAAGTAGACAGAACTTCCCAAACAAAAATTAGCAAACGAGCATGACGTCATCACGTTGCATTTCTTTTTTATATGCAACAAAAAGAAAAGGAAATCCCCGCAAGAGGACAACGTACCCAGGTGGAACAGAGCAGGCCATTATGAATGGTGAAAACAAGCTGTGCAGTACCCTGCACTCCATACCAGTGCAAACTGCCTCTTACCCTAAGGTAAACAAGGGAGACAAAACACCCAAGCACTCAAAGGGCAGCCAAAAACCGAATAGTAAATGGCCAAGCAAAGGCAGGACCCAAGAAACTTGTGGAAGGTGGCCCCAAGGGCAGTACTTACTGGGCACCTATGGAAGAGAGTCCTAGGCGCATGTAGCCCGAGTACTGAAGAATATCTCCTGGCTCGCACACCACCTAGAAGACAGCCATCACACACAAGGCACAGTGCTGAATCAATCACTGGAGCCAGAGCACACAACCGATGCCTATAGCATCAGACTCAGAACTGAGGTGTGGATTGCCAGCGCGGGGGTCTGGGGCTTCCCCTTCCCCCTCCCAGGGAGGGGGGAGCTGCACAGACAGTGGCACGGCGATGTGTGACGTCATACTCGTTTTTGTTTGGGGAGTTCTATCCACTTGTTCGGCTTTTTGTAGCAATTTTCACCAGAATCGGGGTTTGTTTTGGGATGCTTACCTTTCTGGGTGCCTGACCCGGTCGATGGCAGACAGAATGCTTCCAACCACATGAGGGTTTCTATAGGCCATTGCTCCTTGTGACTCTACGAGAGGGCCAGATTCTGGCTCGTGGTCCCCGGTAGGTCCACAGAACTCCTTACACATGACTGATGCCAAAGTCTGACATTAGCACATCAGCCTGGATAGCTCCGGGGAGCTGACGGGGTTTCCCCAGAAAACATGCCAGATTTCCATCCAGTGATAAGGCATATAGGGCATTGAGCACCTTGGTGCACCTTGCACTGCAATATGCCGCGTAAGTCAGCTGTGGGAAAATCCTGGGAGACCATTCTCTCACATACTGGGCTCTGTCCACAGAACCTTGACAGACTTCAGAACTGGGCTGTTGGAATTCAATCCAAATGAGTGTAAAGTAATGAAAATTGCACGGAACACAAACAAAATTGCACATAAATCTGTACTAGGCATAGCTCAGAGGAAGTGTCTTGCAAATCCCACTCCTTTCCTGCTATTTAGTCTAGGAATGTCATCCAAAAACAGATCCAAACACTGGCAGAAAAGACTAAATTATGATCTGATGATAATACCGATACGTGATAAACTCACTACATTGTAAACAACTGAAAATTACAACAACAAATTTTCATGGGTCAAAGTTAACTCATTACATCAATATAGATACATTATAACCATATTATATTTGTATAAAACTAGGCAATAATAATAAAAAAAATATGATGATACCCACATTACTAGAGAGATCAACAAATGATGATAACCACACTTTAGGATTAAGGGTATGAATGACCCTGGCTGTTGTAACCAACAAGTTGTACCACAACCTTGGGGGAAGGGGGGTAAACATCCCAAATCATCACAACTGTCTTACGCTGTTGTAGGGTCCATAAGTGTCACAAAGGCTAAGTTGTCAGATATGGTGCTTCACTTTTACAACCTTTAATATTTTGTAAAATATAACAAGTCCGGAAGCTTTGATCGCACCTTATGTATAATATGAAGTAAAATAATAAACTGTGTGTATTGTATGTATATATATTTATATTAATTCATCTATCTCACACACATACACATACTGTACTGTATATGAATATTCACACAAAATATTAATACAAAACAAAATAAATGCATGCATTTTTAAGGTAAAAAATAACAAAATATATATTATTAGAAAAAACTTCCCTTGCACAAAACTTGTTATGTAACAAATGTGTAAGGTCTGCATTGATGTGTAAAATATTTCAGTGTTACTGAAGTTATAAATAAGTAACACTTCATGGTCTTTTCTGAAACATTTTGTGAACACAATAAAACTAAGGAAAAACTGGTTAATCAGATTTAAAAAGTAATGTAATAAAGCTGGTAATCAAGCTTGGGCACACCAATGTGTTACCTTGCAAGGTCTTCTATCTCTTGCTCAAAATATTGAGCTCGTAAGAATCCTTGATCATACCTAACTACCGAAGAGGATGTAATGTCACTTGTATTTTCACTCAGGTTTTCATGCAGTGACAACCTGAACAAAAGGTAATTTTTTTATCAAAAATAATTTCTTATTTAGTTACATGAAAAAGTACAGAACATAATAGATAACACTTGCCCTTCTCTAAGATCTATAATTAAAAAAAAAAGTCCCATCTGTGAAAGTTTCATAGTACTGCAATTTAAATATTTGTTGACATACTTTGGCACAGTGTTAAAGCAAAAATACTGTACTTGATATGTGCAAGGTGCCAGTACATGATGCAGTGCTACTGAATGATGTCCTGCTGTCTAAATATACTGTTGAGGCCTTGTTGCTATTGGGAATTCCTCTTCCTCGAGGTGGCCTTATATGAACTCATTTAAAAACATTTCAGATGTTGGGGGGAGGGACATTTTATTGAATACCTGAAATTTGTCAAAATATTCCACTGAAAGATGAATCAGTCATCACTTGCTTGCACCAACAAGCAAGAATATAACAAAATAATGAAAATTACTCTAGGAAACAAACACATATGATACAGTAACTGGAGAAGAGAGAGAGAAAACAAAAGCTATACTAAAGGAAACCAACTAAAAACCAGCTTTGAATGTAATGAGACGCCATTTTCTGACCGAGCCCTGGAGGCTATATCTTGAGGTTATCTTGAGATGATTTCAGGGCTTTTAGTGTCCCCGCGGCCCGGTCCTCGACCAGGCCGCCACCCCTAGGAAGCAGCCCGTGACAGCTGACTAACACCCATGTACCTATTTTACTGCTAGGTAACAGGGGCATAGGGTGAAAGAAACTCTGCCCATTGTTTCTCGCCAGCGCCTGGGATCGAACCCAGGACCACAGGATCACAACTCCCGCGTACTGTCCGCTCGGCCGACAGGCTACCTGAAGCTATCCAAACTGGCATGAAAAAACAAATAAAATGTATTTGGAACTGTGCGCAAAAAATGAACAAAAATATATTCACGGCAATTCGCGCATCCTGCCCCGGGCGACCTGGGAATGATGACGTCATGTGCGAACTTACGGACCCCATAGCAGGCAAAGTACATACAATTTCGACCTTCTGTTACTATACCCATACTCAGGGAAGGGTTTTTGACACTTTCAAAACAAAAAAGAATTTTTTCCAGAGAATTTATTTCCTGCGCCCTGTCGGGGTGTCATATTTGGAAGCCAAGCAGTTGAGGGGTTAACACAGGATACTAGACCATATTTTATATATTACCGGTATATATTAGAGCAGTTCCCCTGTCATCATTAGCAGCACTCCTCGCGGGTAACACGCAAACCAAGACACCGTTTGCTGATGCTACAATGTTCTACCATTAACTGCTGCCTTAGCATTTCTGCTCTTGTCCTTATTTGTGTCTTTCTGCTTAATCATCCTTTTTTTGGTGCAAGCAAATGGTAACTGCATTCCATGTGTGATACTCATAGTAACGTGTGTAATGTATAGGAACACATATTACCACAGCCTCTTTGAGCCTTCAAAATTGAAAATTATAAAATGAATAATATAAGCAATGAGTTCCCAGAAGGAACAAGGTATCAAGTACAGTAAATAGAAAAAGTGGATGAGTTGCATTGAAAAACTCTACAAAGTAAAATTCATAAGAAAAATAATTTCTAGAGACAAAATACAAATGAAAAAAAATTGAATCTTCAGATCACTAATAGGTTCAGTCTACAATATATTATGGAAGATATCAAATTACAAACTATCGTATTCCAAATCTGATTAATTGAATTAACCTATGTGCATAAAATATAAGCTCCAGTAC